CCAGCTTCCAGCCGCTGCGGCCTCCAGCTGGGCACCCTTTTATTTAAGGAACCCTGTAAAAAAAAGCTTTGAGTCGGATCCATTTTCAAGGTCTATAAACCCAAACTAGCGATTCTTCACAACCCGGAGCTGTCGGGCTGCTCCGTTTCCCCACAACGGTCGTGCCGGGCGGGGGGAGACAAGTTTGCAGAAAGCACTTCCAAGAGGGCAAGAATTCCCTGCACGTCCTGCCCTGCGCTGGGACCACGCGAGTACTTGTGCCACAGAAGAGGCCTTAGAGCAGTGACCCAAGAAACGCTGCCAGGCTGGAGAGGGAACCAGCACCCAGGGCAAGCGTTGCTGCCCACCAAAAGCACGGCCGGCCCTGCCCCTACGAGCATCTCGACAGCCATAGCGCGCTCACCTTCTCGCCTCTTTCACTTCTCTCGCCTTTCTCTCCTCTGAGACCTGGGAAACCCTGTTGTGACAATTTTTAGGTTAAAAAAAAAAAGTAAAAGGTTTGTAAGCTTAGCGTGCAAACATCCTGGCATCTCCATTCAATATAAGCAATTTCTAGAGACCAACCCATCCTCCCGTGGTGAAGAACACGACGTTTTCTTCCTGTTGACATGGTACGCCAGCAATTTCTTGGGAAAGCCTGTGCTTTACCACACCCCAGTAACATTATGGCTATTAGAGATTTTCGTTTCACTGAATCCAACACAAATGCTCTCAGCTGGAAAGGGAAAGCCCCACAGCACCTTCAGCTGAGCCGTTACTGCTCTGCAGTGGAAGCAGTCCGGCAGCTGGCCTGAATTCAGCCCTTTCCTATAGGCATTGATCTGTGGGCACCGTGTTTAAGGGAGAGTAGCCTAGACAGTGTTAGCTACATATTTTTCTCACAATCTTGAGTGATTTGATGGCCTTTACGTGCATGTTATTCATCTTTCTACATGGCACAATTAATGTTTTCCATACTCACATCCAGTCCTGGCTCCCCCGGCTTTCCCTGCAGGTGTAGAAATAAAAATTAAGACACGCCGTATGGAATTTGGTGTCGCAGGCAAACTTCTATCCAGTTGGTGAAACGCTATGGCAGTGACAGCATGCGGTGGCCCTGCAGCTCCGGGGACTCCTCGCCACGCATCGGGATGGTGCCGGTAAAGCCCGGCTCTGCCGTTGTGGCTGGACCCACAGCATTTCACAGCCCCTTTTTCAGGATGACATCACGTCACCGCTCCTTTCCCACACAGCCGATTACCTTCTCTCCTTTGGTACCGGGTAAACCGATGAGCCCTGGAGCGCCCGGGAGACCCTTAAATTAAAAACAAACGAGGCATTGGGATAGTTACTGTAAGGCAGGTTTCTGCTGACGGCCAGAAATGAGATACGGGAAAACGACTCACAGCAGGTCCAGCGTCGCCGTGGTCGCCCTTCTCGCCGCTGTCACCTTTTTCTCCCTTTGCACCATCCAAGCCCTGCATAAACGGAACAGCATCAACCAAGACGACCTGGTAGCTCTGCCCGGGACAGCAACCCTGTGCATCCGCAGCCTCCTCCCATATCTCCAGGATGCTGCTGTTCACATTTTGCTCTTGACTGGACCATAGTAGAAAATAGTTGAAAATACAGGTTTAAGCCTGCGGGTTTGGAAAGCCAGACTTGCATGTGCTGCTGACCCTCAGGACTCCATGCTGGAGGAGGATTTAAGACCGTAAATGTGTTTGGAAGGAAAAACGGCTTGTTTTGCAAAATGCCAACCAAGGGATGTGTTGTCATGAACAGTGACAACAAAATCAATCCCCAGAGCTGACAGGCCTTTGTGAGCCTGTAAATAATGCACTGGCAGCCTGGAAACAGTGGGTGACATTTAAATTTATTGACTTACTTTAGGTCCCTGGATTCCTGGAGGACCCTGTGGGAAAGACAATGGTGCATTTGAAAAAACAGAATTTAAAAAAAAACAAGCAACCAACAAAGTTTGCTTCCCAAACCATTTCTTGCTCAAATTATGGCCTGACAATGGCCAAATATTTCTTTTCAAGACAGGTGGCAGTTTATTTGGTTCTCCGACGTCAAATTGGGGGAAGAGGAACTGCAAAGGACCGCTTTGTGTAACGGGCAACAATAAAGCTCTGCAACACGAGCTCTGGGGAGCGAGAGCCCTGCAAGAGGTTTGCTGAAGCAAGCGACAGCAGAAGCTCTGGAGGGCAGCACGCTGCCACCACGAACGCTTCCCAGGTTATAAAATACATGCTTCCTGGGGTGCATCAAGAGGAGTGTGGCCAGTAGGTTGAGGGAAGGTCTCCTTCCCCTCTGCCCTAGTGAGGCCCCATCTGGAGTCCTGTGTCCAGTTCTGGGCTCCCCACTTCAAGAAAGATGAGGAGCTACTGGAGAGAGTCCAGCGGAGAGCTACGAGGATGAGGAGGGGACTGGAGCAT